TTTAATTATTTTAATTTCGGCGATGCAATATATTCAATTAATACGATACATGTTTCTAATCAATATTGTACTACTTCAATATGACGTTGTTTATATACATCGCCGAAATCAAAATAATTCAACATGAAATTATTAATTGGTACGCATATTAAACGTTCGATATAAACATACTATATGAGATTAAACTTATTAATAACTATTAATAAGTTGATTTTTTGAAAATCAACTACCTAATGCTCACGTTATCCGCTATACTACTCTAGTTAATTCTAACTAATAGCATGTTCGACTGGCTCTGGGTTAATCCACTCTGAGTTATTCAGCCTACGGTTATTGGTCGAACAAGTACCTATAAGCTTTATGATTGGCTAGTAGAGACTTATGACGTCATTAATCGCTCTCGGAGCGATTAAACCAGGGCCAGTCGAACGCGCTATAACTCTACTCGAGCATCGGAAAGCAATATTGAGTTGTCTTGAACCATAAAGATACTAGATGGTTATGCCTATTACATTTTTCGACCCTAGTGGAACTAACTCGTATTCGATTTAATGCAAAACCCACTAAGGAATAAATAGAAAAGTAAGTATGTGTATTGTTATTTTCATTATAATTAACGTATATTCTTCTGCAGATGTATATAAATAAATAAGGATTTATATCTATTTTATTATGTGTGTATTAAAGAAATAAATACATCTTAACCTAAAGTGCTTCAGTCATTTGATATGTATACAGAGTGTTCCCAAAAGGTGGTACCAAATTTTAGGGGTATGTATTAGATGTACAATTTTGCTTCCGCCGTTTTCCTATAGATGGCTTTAGCGGTAAGTGGTGGTCAAAATAAATAGATCATAGAATAAACTTCATACAATAAACTTGGGCATCTGTGACATAATCCCATAGAAACATTAGTCGATTTGTGTCTGCATCATAAAATTATTCTCGATTGAAAATGTCAGTTTACGAGCCAAATTCTCGTCATTTGCGAGAGGTTTTAATTTTCTGTTTCAATATGAAGAAATCTGCGGCTGAGGTTCATCGAATGCTCTCAGATACTTATGGTGAGGTCGTTATTAGTGAAAGAACGTGTCGTGAGTGGTTTCAACGTTTCAAGAACGGTGATTTTGACGTCGAAGACTGGCATAGCGGTGAAAGAGAGAAGGTTTTCGAAGATGCAAAATTGGAGGCATTACTTGATCAAGACTCGTGTCAAAATCAAGAAGAATTGGCACGATCATTGGAAGTAACTCAACAAGCCATTTTAAAACGCCTCAAAGCCATGGGAATAATTCAGAAGCAAGGAAATTGGGTGCCGTACGAATTGAAGCCGAGAGATATTGAACGGCGTTTGTTTGCTTGTAAACAGCTGCTTGAAAAGCAAAGACGGAAAGGATTTCTGCATCGCATTGTGACTGGGAACGAAAAATGGGTTCATTACGATAACTCCAAGCGCAGAAAATCATGGGGAGTTCCTGGGCATGCTTCCACGTCGACGGCCAAACCGAATATTTACGGCTCCAAGGTCATGCTCTGTATTTGGTGGGACCAGCTCGGCGTAGTATATTATGAGCTGTTAAAACCGACTGAAACAATCACAGGCGATCGGTATCGAACGCAATTGATGCATTTGAGCCGAGCATTGAAAGACAAACGGCCGCAATACAACGAGAGACACGATAAAGTGATTTTGCAGCATGGCAATGCTCGACCCCATGTTGCGAAAGTGGTTAAGACATACTTGGAAACGTCGAAATGGGAAGTCCTACCCCACCCGCCGTATTCTCCAGACGTTGCTCCCTCTGACTATCACTTGTTTCGATCAATGGCACACGGCCTGGCTGACCAGCGCTTTCGGTCTTATGAAAAAGTAAAAAATTGGATCGATTCGTGGATCGCCTTAAAAGATGACCAGTTTTTTTGATGCGGGATTCGTACGCTGCCCGAAAGATGGGAGAAAGTAGTGGCCAGCGATGGACAATACTTTGAATCATAAATGTATAACCAGTTTTTTACAATAAAGCCTCGAATTTCGGAAAAAAAACGTCGGAAGCAAAGTTGTACGGGTGTATATTAGGGGTGTATATCAGTTGGACACGAGGCAATTGGACACAGTCCAATCACAAGTCGCTGTTCCAAGGGACCCTACAAATGTCTCTAATCATACGGTGCTGTGATTGGCTGTGTCCAAATGCACCGTGTCCAAGTGCACCGCTCCCTATATTAGTTGGACACGAGGCAATTGGACACAGTCCAATCACAAGTCGCTGTTCCAAGGGACCCTACAAATATCTCTAATCACACGGTGCTGTGATTGGCTGTGTCCAAATGCACCGTGTCCAAGTGCACCGCTCCCAAGTTGTACACCTAATAGTACTCGTTAAAACAAGTCAAAAATTTTTAATAAACAGTACTCCAAAAACCTTTTATTTCTGAGTTATGAAGCATTTTGTTCTGTGAAAAATAGAAAATAAATTAAATCTACAATAAATGTTCAATGTGTCTTCGGCTCATGTCAATACACATTTCGGCATGTTTCGTCATTGAAGGTCAAAGAGTCCAGGTTTATTTCGTATTTGTTGACAACAGTTTCCAAGTCTCTTAGTTCATTCACGGACGCCCGTATGTGACCACCTAATTACACAGGGATTGTTGTATTCAACTTTGGATTGTGGACTGTGTCTAGTTTTGTCATCTGAAAAATGGCTAATTTTTACACAAATTCTGAAATGACGGATATTCATTTTATATATGGCAAAGCAAAGGGCAATGCTTCAAAAGCAGCACGCTTGTATTATGCAGCTTATCCGAATCGCCAACAGCCAAGTAGAAGAATGTTTAGCAAAATTCATCAACGCAATGGACGGAGGGCACATTGAACATTTATTGTACATTTTAGTTATTTTCTATTTTTCACAGAATAAAATGCTTCATAACTCAGAAATAAAAGGTTTTCGGAGTACTGTTCATTAAGACTTTTTGGTTTGTTTTAACGAGTACTACATACCCCTAAAATTTGGTACCACCTTTTGGAAACACCCTGTATATTAGGGTGGTCCTTATTTTTCAACTTTCAAATTTTTTCTGCGGCACCCTCCAAAAAGTTTCCATTTGATAAAAAAGAAATCCCTTCCAAACTTTTGCTCGATCGGATAACGAAAACCCGTGCCCCCGGGTTGTTAAACATTGGAATACTCTTGTATTACGTTATCTACGTAATCACGTAAGCTGTCTACGTTATCAATATGGTCTCTAAAGCGTGTTCTTCACAAAAATCGCCTTAGAGGAGTTTTCCTTTTTTTTCTACATCGTTTGAGATCTTATAGTCCCATTTAAACAATTAGATAAATTGTTGATGACTAAAAAATAAAAATAAATAGTTATTGCATTTATTGTTTAAACTACAACAAATCATGTATGGACATATCATGTAAAAAGACTATAAAAGTTGCAATAGTATGTTTGGAAGACAATATAAGTGTAAAACCTTTCATGTTTTTATTAATAAAGAAATTTTTTAAATTAAATATTACATAATAATTAATAATCTCGTTGCTCGTAATCTTATACTGGGAGGGGACCATAGATATATAATACCTAGGCCGCGGGTTTTCCCATTGTCTATACGCGTCAAACAATATAAAGAAATAGCATTCTTTTGGTAAAAAGTCTGTCTTTTTCTAACGAAGGCTGTTTTATTTCCACCACTTATCGTGGTCTTGTGGCGGGAATAAAGCAGGTTTCATTAGAAAGAAATAGACTTTTTACCGAAAGAATGCTATTTCTTTATATTGTTTGACGTGTTTAGACAATGAGAAACATTGCGAATCCGCAGCCAAGGTATTATACAGTTTGTTTAATAAGAGCGTGTCCGGCAAAACTTTTACATATAAACGGGTAGACGGAAAATTCAAACAGGAGCCGGTAGAGGCATCTTTCGCCTAAGATGCTTTGTTGATAAAGCTTTAGTTGTTATTCGATCTTCGTGATAAAAATATATATTTCACCATGAGTGCCAAATATACATCGCGTTTCGAAGCTGTATTTCTTTGTACACATCCGAAAGGACCAAAAATGTCACGCCAAGCGGCTGCTAAGTACATGAGAAAGTCAAAAGCATTTGTAAATAAGTTGGTCGCTATTTAGAGGTGAAAAATGTCGATGACTTACCGAAATGTGGCTCTACGCAAGAATTTGACACTTTGCATATCTTCACAAACCACTTAAACGCTAGCAAAATGGTCAAAATTTATGAGAAGGTTTTACTACTATCTGCTCAAACATGGTTTATAAGGAAAAACGAAAAATGGATACTACAAGAGAACAATGATCCTAAACATCAAAGTCGGCTTTGTACCGCGTGGAAATAAGAAAATAATGTTGAATTACTGGATTGGCCGTCACAGTCACCGAATGCAAATCCTATCGAAAACGTTTGGTCCTTGATGAAGTTTAAACTTCGCGGAAAATTTGATCGGTCAAGGAATTAGTACGACAAATTCGATTGATATGGAAATCTTTACTTCAAGAATATGCTATAAAATTAGTTGAAAATATGCTTCGGAGATGTCAGTCAATTATTAAGGCGACTGAGCAAGTTATTAATAATAAAACATCACAGTTTTAATCAAGTAGTATGTGTGTATTTTATTTCAAATTATTTCAATAAATTATTTATCAAATTTTGCCGTACACGCTCTTATCAAACAGACTGTATATCTATGGTTCCCTCCTAGTATAAGATTAGGAGCCACGAGATTATTAATTACTATGTAATATTTAATTTAAAAAGTTTCTTTATTAATAAAAACATGAAATGTATCATGTTTTACATTTATATTGTCCTCCATACATAATATTGCAACTTTTGTAGTACATACATGATTTGTTGTAGTTCAAACAATAAATACAATAATTATTTATTTTAATTTTTTAGTCATCAACAATTTATCTAATTGTTGAAATGAGATTATAAGATCTCAGACGATATAGAAAAAAAAAACAGAAAAGTTTTCTAAGGAGATTTTTGTGGAAAACACCATATTGATAACGCAAACAGCTTAATATAAAGATACTTCAATTTTTAACGATCCGGGGGCACGGATTTTTTCGTTATCCGATCGAGCAAAAGTTTAGCAGAGATTTCTTTTTGTCAGATGGAAACTTTTTGGAGGGTGCTGCGGGAAAAATTCGAAAAAAAATTTTGACCAAGAGTAAATAAGGACCACCCTAGTATATATACATACCAAATTGACTCTGTTCAAACATTCCTTCCTCATTCATTTCCATAATTTCTTAACTCTGAAAATATTTTATATTTTAATAAACTTGTATGTTAACAACTTAAACCCATTTAGGTTAAGATATATTTATTTCTTTAATATACACATATCAGTAAAATAGAAATAAATTTTTATTTATCTATATACATCTTGTTAACAACTTAAACCCATTTAGGTTAAGATATATTTATTTCTTTAATATACACATATCAGTAAAATAGAAATAAATTTTTATTTATCTATATACATCTTGTTAACAACTTAAACCCATTTAGGTTAAGATATATTTATTTCTTTAATATACACATATCAGTAAAATAGAAATAAATTTTTATTTATCTATATACATCTTGTTAACAACTTAAACCCATTTAGGTTAAGATATATTTATTTCTTTAATATACACATATCAGTAAAATAGAAATAAATTTTTATTTATCTATATACATCTTGTTAACAACTTAAACCCATTTAGGTTAAGATATATTTATTTCTTTAATATACACATATCAGTAAAATAGAAATAAATTTTTATTTATCTATATACATCTTGTTAACAACTTAAACCCATTTAGGTTAAGATATATTTATTTCTTTAATATACACATATCAGTAAAATAGAAATAAATTTTTATTTATCTATATACATCTGCAGAAGAATACACGTTAATTATAATGAAAATAACAATGCACATACTTACTTTTCTATTTACTTCTTAATATTTATTTCTTAAAAGACATAAGTATGTATGCAACGTTTCTCTGCATACGCTAATCCGATCTGTCCCTCACTGACACGATTTGGTAATCCGATTAGCCTAGGCAACTTTCTGTCTAGACAATTCTAGACATCACTATGATTATATCAATCCGATTGGAAATCCGATTGCTACACGTAAATACCCATGGATTTCGAATGCCCTATTTCCTGTCATCTAAGGGTGCGTTCAGATTCCTCATCCGGGTGCACTCTATTACTAGAAACACTATGGGTGTTTACGGTAAATCGAGTATGAGTTAGTTCCACCAGAACCGAAAAATATGATAGGCACGACCACCTAATACCTTCATGATTTATGACAACTCAATGCTGTCCGGTAAGGCGAGTAGAGTTAGCTAACGTAGTAAATAGCGTTCGAACGAGTCAACATTATCAGGTAATAAAATTGTGTAAAATGTGAAACAATTACATTAAAAATCAATTAATTATTAAATTTTAGGAAAATCATAAATATTAAATTGAAGTTATAAAAAGTTATGAGAAAATATCATGTATTTGTGGAATATCCGAAATAAGAAATTCAATTATTCTAATTTACTTATAAATATTCTTTTCATGTAATCTATTCCTGCAAAACAAAAAATTCTTTGTTTAAAATGTAATGTATATGTACATGTTACGGACGATATCAACATTAGTACTTAAAATATTTATTATTTTAAACATGTATTAGCAAAATGTTATTTAGGTTATTCTCTTCATACTGTAATGTTTAAAGTTGTAATTGTACTAGTAATTGCCGATTGAC